TGGAAATCCTAAGGCAAATAAGCAGTTAAGGAAAAACCAACTCAAAAGCAGTCTTAAGGAACACACACTCAAGTTCTTCTGAGATCAAGAAGAGTGACATCGGGCCTCCCCGAGGCACAGCGGGTTGAGCGCCGCGCTGTGAAGCTGTCCACAGTCTTTGCAGTGGGGGTTCAATTCCGGGCCGGCCAGGGAGAAACCCACATGGCGCGGCAGACCTCTCCTGCCTCGCCCGTTGCTCCCCTCAGCAGTGTCTTCCCTCTGTCTGCCTGTTCTGTTCCCCGCTCTGTCTCTGGTGAATTCTCTGACTCTCCCGCGCCTCTGACTGTACCCCAGTTCTTGTATAAATAAATAAATCTTTAAAAAAAAATAAGGACTAGAGATGCACAGCGTGTCAGAGCACTACCAGAGTCTGGCTGGAAATTTCCCTTTTCTTCAGTATCACCGAGGGGCAGTGAAGGTGGAACACGGGGACTACCCTTGGTCTTTCCACACCACAGGCTGTGTTTTGCTACTTTTCAAAATTCATCAGCGGTTTACTGTTCCATGAGCATTTGTTGTACCCACCCCATCCTAAATAGAAAAATGAAAGCCAATAACAAGATGCATTTCATATTTAAAAAGGCCAGTCACAGCCTACTTCACTGCAAGCCGCGTAGTCTCGGCGGAAAACAGGGTCGCCCAGGAGCAGCGACGCTGAGAGGCTCCACGGAAAGCAGGATTTACATCCCGGGAAGGGCGCTGACCACCACATGGTATTACAGGCGCTCCTATTTCTCTCATTAATACAGAAGTGACAATTAATACACAACAAAGGGGCAGAGAATACAGAAAAATGTTAGACTGTTTCCATTTCAATGGGGAAGCAAATCTAAAGAATTTGCTGTATAAATAATTTGGCAGGACAGCAATGAATCTAAATTTATGCCTTGAAATTATAATGAATAGTAATTAATGGGGGAAAAGTTTTGGAGTAATAATGGAGTATCCCGATTTGTAATAGATTAGACTTTGGGATCTTTCCGACAGTAAAGGCTGGGGAAAGGGGAGCGTGTTTACATCTAAGTAGAAGGAGATGTCATTGCGTAAATTAATAATGCAAACTTGAAAAATAGCTCCGGGTTCAAAAGACCAATTATAAGATTCTTTTGTAAACAAATCTATATTCACATTTTTCATGAATAATTATAACTACGAATATTCCTCTACTAATGTTCAATTTATAAAATGAAAAATATATTTTTGAATGAAATTTAAATAATACTTCAGTTTCTAATGATGGTAACTTACCTACAAATAAGTGTTAATAATGACACAGATGGGAATATTCTACAGGAACAATTTTTATCTATCTATATTAAGCAAATAAAACCTAAATAGGAAAAACTTATTAAATATTGTAAGCAATAAAAGATTATGGAAGACACTGATAAGAGACATAATATGGCCATATCTTCTTAGGAAATATAGGATCATCTCTGATTTTTTTTTTCCTACGGAGCTCATGCAAACTCAAATTTATCTTGTGAAAGAAGATACTTTTCTTCTCGGTGCTGCAGATATAGTCAGTACTTTGCTCCTCCTAAGATATGCAAACAAGGCAACCTTTTTGAACATAACTATTAGCTCATTTTGAGATCTTTTCCTCACCAAGAAGAAAACAGAGGCATCTATTATAAACTCCACATTTCATGCGAAGTTCCCAACCTCAGAAGCACTCACGTGTTCGCAAGCCTTTGAGCCCTTGGTCAAGGTCAAAGGCGTGTGTTTTCACCAGGGAAGGCAAGGCTTGCAAGGATGCACAGAATGATAACACTGACACGAGAACAAGAAGTGTTCACAATATTTGCTCTCAGTAATCACCAAATTATTTAAAAAGTTTTAAATGAAGAGAAAATCACCCTGTCATCATCAATGACTTCAAGCATTCACAAGGAAACGTGATAGCCGGCGCGAGTTTCCATGCCCTGAGTGGTCACTCACGGGCAGTGACGACATTCTAGGGCAGAGGGTCCCCAACCAGAGACTGTGAAGGTGCGTGATGGGCAGACATGATGGTTCAAAGGCACTTTTCCACAGGCGAGGATGCCACTTCAGGGAGATGACGTCAACAGGGGACCAGTAAGCACCTCACCCTCAGCCAAAGAAGACGACGATGTCAGAGCAAGAAAGCCTGAAATACTGGGCAGTAAGCTTACACACACAGAGGCTGAGGAGTTTCCTGAAACACAGTATGATCCACACAAGGAAAATCAAGTCACCACCTTTGTAGCAATGCCATAAAATGCCACACTTCTAGGAATTTCTCCTAAAAACATCATTGATAGGTGCAAAGATTTAGATACGAGCACTTTCAGAGGGAAAAAAAATAAAATAAAATAAAAATGACCTAAATGTCTAAACACTAAAAGTGATTATTGCTTATCAATCTAACTTGAGGCTATGCAAGTATTAAAATTATATTGCAGAACAGTGGTTTTCAAATGAGGCATTTGAAACTCGAAGGTATTCCAGCAATTATCCACCAACTGATTTTTGAATTTAATATATTTTTAACAACTTCAGGAACCATTAAAAAAACAAGCTGGCACGTATCATAAATAAATCTGAACAGACCGCAGGGCTTCCCGGGCAAAGGCTCCCGCGACACCTCACTGCAGTGCCTGCGGGTGTCAGGGGAAGAAGACGCCGCAGCATCCCAGGGACAGGCCTGCGGGGACAGTGCGGGCAGGCCAGTGTGGTGGCTGGATCCCATGAGCAATTTCCAGGTGCTCCTCGTGCAAATAAACAGTGACCCCACAAGGCTGGCTCGCGAGCCGCTCATATCTGAGCCCCAGGAAGGGCCTGCCCCGAGGTGGGAAGATTTCACTGGGCCCGAGCAGATTGCTTTTGCCCCTCCCCGGCCAAGTGCTTCCACCAAAAGGATGAAGAAGGGCAGGTCCAGGGTTATCCAGGAGCAAGTGGGCCCTATAACGGAGCCCTCTGCAATAACGCTGCCCGTCAGAACAGTCCTTCACAATGTTTGTTAAGGTTACAGGATAAGTAGACACAAGCAGATACAACACATTTCAACTAGGAACTCGAATAATTACCTAACAACTAATAAACGTGGGCACCACATTCATCCACTTTATATACAGGGTCTGTATGTAATCTCGTGTGAAATAACAGTTCTGCTTAAAAATAACAACTTGAAAACTACAGTTACACAAGACGGATGAAATAGAAAGGTAGCTGCAATTGTTTAGTGTGAGAAAGTAAAATGTGTAATGAAGTGAAATTTGCAATGAACCCACCCCCTCCTATTGCAAAACAACAGCTCAAAGCTTATGTAGAGAGCACACATCGAAAGGGTTAACCCGAACAGCTAAGACTGATAATTAAAGAAATTTTTATAATATTGTAATTGTTCTCCTGTGTTTTATAGGAAGGCAACTATGGTATGGCCTCTTTAATAAGGAAAAAGAACACTTGATAATGTTTATTTTTTAAAGAACCCATATTATCAGCACCTCAGAAACCAGCTTCTACGTCTACCTCTAATTGGATCACCATTTTACCAAATTTCCAAGAAATACCAATCTAGTGTTAAGAAAGAGAAAACTCATAAAATGTTGAATGAATGAATAATTAATGAATGAAATATATCTGTAATATCTCTGTACTATTAGATGACCTTTAACATAAAACTTAATGCAATAATGAGGATAATAATAGAGATTATAGCAATATATTTACTGAATGCACAGTCCACAGACACAGGAACACAAACACCATCTTCAACAAAGGCTTCGGGTTTAGGTACGTACTCAAATATTTCACACACGCAGGCTGCTTTGAAAAATCACCTCTGATTTCCATGTCTTCCGGTGAAACGGGGACCATGAGCTCTTTGGCTCCAGGATGAGGAAAGCTCCCACACCCCAATTTAGGATTCAGGCTCCACAGTCCAGCTGATTAAACTCCTAAGACAGACGTCACTGGGCTGCCTGCAAACTCTGTGGGGTCTGACGGAACCCCGGCGAACTCCGCACCCACACTGAAGGGGTGTAGGCCCAGCTCGGCCCGGCTGCCACCCCACACCCCATCTTATTTTCACTCACAGGTGCCTGCAGCAGAGTAAAGCAGAAGCATGTGCCACCGTCACTGGTCCAGATGCTCCCTATTTCTCTGCTGCGCTGCAGCCGGGCGGACATCACCTAGTGCCTGTGGCCCCACAGTCGGGGGCAAAGCCGGGACTCCAGCCCGGTGGTGGACGGGGTGTAAAGGTGCACACCTGAGCCCAGACACCCAGGAGCAGGTACAAAAGTTTGAACCTATAACCCGGGAGCAGATACAAGGACACAAGCCTACTCTACCTTAATAATAAACCCGATATGGGGAAGAGAACGGGGGTGCTGGGAATTAACAGGGGAAAAAAGATCTCGGCACTAAAGCGCTGCCCTGCCCCATTCTCCCTGCCTCCACGGGAGATGTGCGTGGCTGCCATGCCCCGCCTCTACAGCTGAAACCCTCTCCCTGCAGGAGGGCGCCCCCTTGGCTGGCCTTGTTCTCTCTTACCCCCTGGGTGCTCTGGCCGATTTACCCACTGAGATGCGGATTATATTTACTTATACAAGTCACTTATGTCCCAATATCCTTAAAGGCGGGGAGTACTTCTGATACTGCCTCCCCAATCTAAATGATGCTGCTCAGCGTAGACGACAGGCAGCACACGCTGAGGAGCTGAGTGGCTGGAATGTTCCTTACTTTGCGCAAAGAAATAAAGTCACTTGAAATACAGGTGAAGCAAAGGACTATAAAACCTAAGTATTACGATGAAAAATGGGAAAGAATTTTACATTTTTAAAAACAGTCACTAAAATCAGTGGTGAAATGAACTGCCAACCTAACATGGAATCATGCTTTCAGTGATGCTAACTCGCATTGATGAGAAAAACTATCCTTTTAGGCCAAACTTCCTAGCACGTGGAGCTCTGAAGGGGCGACGGGGTGCTGGTTACCTGTAGTCACACCAGGGGCATCGGTAGGGCTTCTCGCCGGTGTGCACACGCTTATGTCGAGTCAGATGGGACTGGGTGGTGGAGGCAAAGTTACATTCGTCACATTTGAAAGGCTTTTCTCCTGTAATATATCAAGAAGTGTTGCACGTGAATAGTCGTGGAGGTCAGGAAGGAGGGCTAACTGCTGCTGACATCAAAGAGAAACTATTTCCATGGGATTTAAGAATGGCATCCAGTGCACGACACATTTAGAACATTTAAATATTTATTCTCAGATTGAGGAAATCAGAAGCTAAGACAGCTTTCCACTTCTACTCTGGAAGCGATGAAAGGTATACATTACGCAATTAAACACTTTTTTTAAATCTTAAATGTACTTTTTTTCCCTGACGTCATTGTTAATTTTTGGACAATACATGATTTTTCCTTCCCGTCAGGTGCAGCCACCCTAGTCCCCACCGCCAGAGCACATACAGTCCATCACCACAGTCCGTGGGCCCTCTCCCACCCAGCCCCCCTCCCTTATGTAAGTGGTTAAAAAGGAATCCACATTTCAGCTGCAGTCTGGCACTGTACTGGGGACTAAATATTTAGAAAACTATGTGACACTGAAGCCACTATACAAACCCAGGAGGTTAAAGCCATGTGAAAGCATGTAACACAGACACAATCGGAATATGTAGGAGAAAACTTACCAATCTTAGAATATGACGAAAATAATAAAATCACACTACAAACTGACACCAGTAAAAAAAATTGCTAAAACACTTTACAATTCCCTAGGTTGAATAAAATGTGCAGAAGCATCCAAGAAGCACCGCAGACAAGACTGAACCCCACTTTAAGTCCCTCTCCTGGCACAGACACAACAGACATGCCCATACTCAGCTCCACGGGAGCTGGCCCTCGACTGGAGGCCTCCCTCTGCTTTAACTATCACACACACACACACACACACACACACACACACACACACACACACACAGTTCACCCAGTCTTAAGTTTGTACTTCTAGCTACACTGGCCAGTGGGCACTTGAAATGCACCTCTTTAATACTAATTACTGAAAATTTAAATTTAAAATCTGATACTGAAAAAATGTGTTTGGAACAGCTTGTGAATGTGAATCTCCTTTTTGAAATGTAAATTTTATCAAATCTAAATAAAGAGCATATATTTCATATATTTCAGATGAAAATGTAGCATCTGAATTGAAAAGATACAGCCATAAAATACACACCAAATCTCAAAGTCCTAGAACAGAAAAGGAAATACTACTAACGTGACGCGGGCGAGCATGCTGAAGCAATCATTTGGATGTGTTTGGTTAACTTAACTATCTCTGAAATAGTTACCTTTTATTTTTTAAATAGATTATCAGGAAATCTAGACTTACACCTGCCTGGCCTGAATGACATTTCTGTTGCACAGTTAACAAGAGAAAACCCCTCTGGTCTCTTCCCCCGCAAGCAGCAGCTACATTGTACAGAGATGCTCTTTCTCAGCAAACTCTTTCCTTGAAACTTTTTCCTCAAGGGTGCCTTAATTTTCCACATGTTCAATAATTCGACTTAATATTTATTTCCCATATTTTATAGTAGCATAAACATACTGGCTTATTAGAAAACAGAGGATGAAAAACCTTCATTTAAAATGACTCTGCCGGGCCTCCCCTGGTGGCGCAGATGTCGAGCGCTGGGCTGCGAAGCTGCCGGGGCAGCCTCTGCAGCGCCAGTTCGATCCCCGGCCACCGACGAGGGTCCCACACGGCGCCCGCCCGCTGCTCCCCTCAGCAGCGTATTTCGTCAGTCTGCCTGCTCTGCTCCCCGCTCTGGCTCTGGTGAATTCTCTCACCCTCCCGCGCTTCTGACTGTCCCCAGTGCTTGTATAAATAAATAAATAAATCTTTTTTAAAAATAAATAAAATGACTCTGCCTAAATTCAGCAGCAACAAAACTGTCCTGATCACCTCTGAGCTGAGTCCCGGCCCCAGCGCTGAGCCCCCGCACCTCAGGGCTGAGCCCCCGCACCCCAGGGTTGAGCCCTCCCGCCTCAGGGCTGAGCCACCCCCAAAGCTGAGCCCCCTCCCCACCTCAGGGCTGAGCCTCACCCCCGCCCCCCGCCTCAGGGCTGAGCCCCCCACCTCAGGGCTGAGTCCCCCCCACCTCAGGGCTGAGCCCCCCGCCTCAGGGCTGAGCCCCCCCCACCTCAGGACTGAGCCCTCCCCCTCAGGGCTGGGCCCCCCACCTCAGGGCTGAGCCCCCCACCTCAGGGCTGAGCTCCCCCCAGGGCTGGGCCCCCCCTGCCTGAGGGCTGAGTCACCCCCCCAGGGCTGGGCCCCCCCACCTCGGGGCTGGGCCCCCCACCTCAGGGCTGAGCCCCCCCCCCCAGAGCTGGGCCCCCAGGGCACAGCCACCCGCCAGGCGCCGCGGCCTCCCACGGGACGCCCACGCCCGCCCGCCCCGCCAGGACCCTCCCGCGGGCAGCCAGTCGAGGGGCGCGCCGAGGGGGCAGCCGCGGCGCCCGCCTGAAGCCGCGTCTCCCGGGAGGGGGCGACGCGCGCTGCCTTGGCAGAGACGCCGGCATCGCAGGGGGCCCAGGGCCCGTCGCTGACCCGCCCGGGTGCAACCGTCTGTGGCACCCGGGCCGCGTCGCTCCTTGTCGTTTGGGGGCGTCGCCGGCGCCCCGAGGCAGGCGGGCGCGGAGCTCGCTTTGGAAGCGCCCGAGTCTCCCCCTCACACCCGGCGCGGCGCCTCCGACAAACCTCCGCGGCCTGCTCAGGCCGAGCCCATCTCGGGCCTTTCAGTCAGTTCCTGACGCGGCTCCGGCGGCCCCACCCGGAGAGACGGGTCCTTGGCAAGATGCGTCATTTACCAACGTCCTTCCCGGCGGCGGACTGTCTTCATCTCTTCACAGTGTTTTTTGAAAAGAAGACATTATCGCGCTCAATTTATTCGTTTATAATTGTCCGTGTTACGATTCTTCCATTTACGAACCGAACCGGGCTTTTGGTGGGGTGTCTCAGAAACCCTGGACAGCCGTGAGGGCAAAGATCTTTCTCCTGAATTTTCTTCTGGAATGTGATGTAGCTGTAAGTTGTATATTAGGTCAGTGATCATTCTCAGCTAATTCCTGTATAAAGTATGACAAATGAATCAAAAGTCGCTTTTTATGAACAGCCAGTTGTCCCAGCACTACATATTAAAAATATTAACCTGCCTTTACTCCTCTGTCAGAGATCAGCTGGCCAGGTGGTGAGTCTGTTCTGTCATCTCTGCTCCATGCCACTGACGCCTCTGCCAGCGCTTGACTGACCTGACGATGCAGACGTATGAAAGCCGTCAAGGGAGGTACTGCAAGTTGCAATATGACCATCGCCTCATACTGATCATCAAAGTCATTTGACTATTTCAGATATTTGCATTTCCATAGGAATTTTAAAATCAGCTTGTCAATTTCTTTAAAAAAGGAAAAGGACTGATGATATTTGAAGCAATCAATACAAGAAATGACATCCTCACAAGACTGAGTCTTCTGATCTGTGAACCCGGCCTATCACTCTACTCAGGTCTCCCTGGACTCCACGGCAGTGTCCAGTGGAGAGGTCTGGAGCCTCGTTTGTTGCCAAATACTGCCCGTTGGTCGAAAACAGCTGACAAGCATCTGCACAGGTCTAGGCTCCTCTCTCTCTACAGCAGTATGATTCCGTCATGACGATCGCAGCGATGTAATAAAACTTCAAGTTAAGAAGCGTAACTCTTCCACTTTTAATATGATGAATCTAAGTGGTTAATTTAAACATTGTTCCCATTAGGTAAATTCACAAATATATTCCAATGTTTTCTTATTCCACCCAACCTAAGTGTTTGAAAATGCGTTGGCATCATAGTTCATGGCTAACTTGTTTATTCTAAGAACCTTGGTGGTCTCTCGGTCCCTCTCTCTCGTAATTGGCAGGAGGAGGAGGGGGCAAGGGTGACACTGTGGACTCCTTGCTTGAGTCAGCAGCAGGCATCCGAGGTTACCTATGCGCTTCAAATTTCATTTTCTTGGTTCAGAAACTAACATAAGCATTTAAGAAATATATTAAATGCAGCTTATTTCATTTAAGCGTATGGTGCTTTCATGTAACACAATTTAAACTGAAAAACAATTTCAAAGAAAAATGTCATTTATTTTCTTTATAATTCTAATAATGTGAAGTGCACATTAAGCGAGCATTCTATTGCAGTAAGTTGCAAACTGTCGTTTCATGTTTAACTTGACAACACTACAGCCTAACTTGTGTAATATTAAGACAGTTTTAATTACATGCAGGTTAACAAAGGAAAAATACAGAGCTCCCCAAAATACGCGGGACGCGGTGCTGTGCTGCAGCCGGAGGACACAAGCACGCCAGGGTGCTTCACAGGAGAAGCGCCGGGTCCCTCAGCGCAGACTCAGTTTATTCAGATCCATACACGACACTTGACCCGCAGGCCCTCCTCCTGTCGGCGCTGTGGCTTGAATGCGCCCACCAGAAGCGCGCTCTGATCCGTACAGTTTCTTTAGGGAATTTCTTCAGGAAAATACATTTCAGAAATACAGAAGCTGCTTCTTGTTTGTTAGTCTCCACATAGAGACAAACACATAAATTTAAATTCTATATTTGAAATGACAAGGATTGAATAAGGATTTCAGTTAATTGTTGAAATAAGTGAGGGGTACAAGACCCCTAACGGGAGCAACGTTTCTGATCGACTGGCCAAACCGCTGTGCTTAGAAAACAGCCCTTTGTGATTGCGCGGCTGGAGACGCGCATGTCTGGGTGAGATGTCACTACACCTGGACAACGTTGCCTGTGAGTTAACAGGCTCGTGTCTCCATCCTATCCACAACAGCACAACCATGGAACGTCCTTCCCTTTTGCCTTCCCTGTGTAACAGGGCATCTTCACTGAAACGGCGCTGCTCTCCATACCCAGCCATCAACGCAGGCCCAACAACCACTGTGGAAGATTCTGCGCCTCAGATGCCCTGACAGGAAAGAAAAACAAAGGCGGAGGAGGGCCGCCGGAGGGCTGCGGACACAGAGAGGCAGAGCCCACGTGTCCAGTGCGGGGCCAGGCCGGACACTTGCTCTCAGCCTCCCCCGGCGGGGCTGGCGGTTAGGGAGCTGGCCAGGACGCTCCGACCACGTGTGAGGATTTGCTCCTGTGCCCTTGAATCAGGGGTCTCTGACAGGTGATAAAAGTAAATCTTGGAATGGAAGATGTTTCGTGTCAGCCCCTAGACAGGCTGACTGCAGCAGGGAATTATTTACGCCATTTGGAACACTTTTGATACCGATCCCTTTCCAAGCTGATTGTAATTTGTGTGGGCACTCTGGAGCAAAAAGGTAAACCATGTCAAAGAGGAATACATCAGAGAAATACAGACTTCAAATGCACCACACAATCCTGGCCTTGAAAAAAAAAAAAGTTGTGTGTTGCTTAAATATTATAAATCCAGCATAAAAGCTAGGGGCCTAGGCTGAGTTGTACTAAGCAGTTTGGTTGAAGCAAACAGTCTTAAGAACTGACTCTGGTATTAAAGAATCATGTTTGATTTGTGCCAGAGAGGCAGATAAATGCCAAAAAGACAGATGCTTCTGTCTGTGAGACATTGTCCTATATGGTATAAAGTTAATAGCAAAGTAATAAGGAGCCTCTGGACCTGACATAAAATATAAAGTTGTGCCTGGCTCGATGCAGGCTCCGTGATGGATCACCTGTGAACGCCTGTGATCACAGCACCACTGCGCTGGGGTGGCACGAGGAAGCAAGGCCGCGCTGGCCACGGGGCATCGGAGGAGGGCGCCCCCGGCCACTCCCAGGTGTGACCAGGGAGCACAGGCTGCTCGTGAGGGCAACAATGCCACCATCAATAAACAACGCAGAAACCCCGGAAAAGCCCACGAATGCCCACGTCCACTTCCCAGAGACCGTGGTGGGGTAACGGCACCCCGGGCCTTCACACTGACTTTGGCTCGTGGGTAAGACGAGTCATCACAGGTTGCTAGCAGAGGCTGTAACAGAGCTTTAAGTTTATTTACTAAGTCTGCGTTTCCAACACCATGCTAAATAGTGGGAATTTCTCTCTGACTCAATCTCACCTGGAATTTCAAATCATAAAAACTGAAAATCTAAAAGGAACAACCAGCATTCACCTAACAATACCACCATGCAGGTAACCAGCACCCCGAGCTAACTGCAAACGCAGCATTACAAGACTCGAAATGTGCCTTACCACGCACCATATTTCCACAACCTTAATTTCGTTTCATTTTGAAGATAACTACCAAACTCAACAGTCTGAGGGAACCCAAGGAAAAGTCCAACATGACCTACGGGCGATGCTGTCATGTGACTCATCACTGACACAGGCACTCCTCTGAGTGACAGAGGTCCTGTTCGTAGTCAGCAGAACAAGGCCATAAATCAGTACCGTCTCAGGCACACTTAGAATTATTAAAATAATTACTTACCTGACCTACAATAGCATACCAAGTAGGTAATCAATTTTAATAAATGTTTAAAACTCTCCAACCTTCAGTGTTTCTAATCAAGGAATCTATTTTGTTTTGTTGAATCACCAAGAATACACAGCACTAGAAAGAAAAGCTCCTCTGTATCATCCCTCTCCTGTCTGCGTCTTCACTGCTGTGCCCTCTTAATTGCAAAAACAACGGTGGTGGCCTACAACCACATCTCCCCTGGCAACTCGCAGAGGAACTGCCGGCTGACAGGCTCAGAGAGAGATGGCAGGGGCGGGGTGCAGGGGCGTAAGCAGGCAGCCAAGAGAGGGGCAGCTGCCCGGGTCACCCGCCACCACCCAGGCCTCACGCGCAGAGCAAGCAGCCGCTGCCTCCGCTGTAGCCCTGCCCTCCCATCCTCCTGCTTAAAGGTGAACTTGCCAGGACACTGGCACGCAAAGCGCGCAGCAGGCCTGCCTCTTAAATACCTAAAAACAGGGGATTGAAATTTACACTAGGCTGACATCTTCTTCAGTAGCTCTCAAGCAAACGGATTTCAGAAAAATTGCCAAGATGCGCTTGAGGCCCAGGATGGGGTGCCAGGCCACCGGGCCCACTACTGACCTGTGTGCTGCCGGCGGTGCTTGGTGAGGGCGTGCCGGGTCCCACCAGCAAAGCCACAGAGGTCACACAGGAACGACTTCTCGCCTGTTGCAACAATAAACAGATGAGGGACTGCAGAGGTCACAGATCATTAAAACATATCTATCAAGGCTTTCAGGGTTACTAATTCCTCCAATCAAATGTTTCCATGTAAATATGTCAAATGGGAATGAAATTACCACTGCGGTTTATTGACTGTGATAAAATCTGAAAAGCACCACTGAACATAATTACATACTTGTCAGACCCATAAAAATTAGCTTTATTATCAATGGAATGGTTTTGTACAACTTCATTTCTGGTAGATGTCTTCCAGATGGGGCTGCTTTATGCACTTGAACAGTT